ATTTATTTATTTATTTATTTATTTGATTTTTACCCCACCCCTCTAGACTATGTCTACTCGGGGCGGCTATGTTACGAGCCTCCATCCATAGTTCTTCAGGCGCTCTGTCCACCAAATGTAGTTCCTTAAATCCGTTCTTCACTTCCACTGTGTATTCATAAGGGATTTGGTTTAAATGATACCTGACTAGCCCAGTGGTTTTTCCTAGTTTCTTCAGTTTAAGTTAGAAGTTTGCTATAAGAAGCTGATGATCAGAGACACAATCAGCTCCAGGTCTTGTATACAGCTGCTCCATCTTTGGCTGCAGAGAATATAATCAATCTGATTTCGGGTTGCCCATCTGGTGATGTCCACGTGTAGAGTCGTCTCTTGTGTTGTTGGAAAAGAGTGTTTGCGATGACCAGCTTGTTCTCTTGACATACAGCTGCTCCATCTTTGGCTGCAGAGAATATAATCAATCTGATTTCGGTATTGCCCATCTGGTGATGTCCATGTGTAGAGTCGTCTCTTGTGTTGTTGGAAAAGAGTGTTTGCGATGACCAGCTTGTTCTCTTGACAAAACTCTGTTAATCTTTGCCCTGCAATTTGAACTCCAAGGCCAAACTTACCTGTTGTTCCTTTTATCTCTTGACTCCCTACTTTAGCATTCCAATCCCCTATAATGAGAAGAATATCTTTCTTTGGTGTCAGTTCTAGAAGGTGTTGTAAATCGTCATAAAACTGGTCAATTTCAGTCTCCTCAGCATTAGTGGTTGGTGCATAAACTTGGATTACTGTGGTGTTGAAAGATCTGCCTTGGATTCGTATTGAAATCATGCTACCCTTTTTGAGATTGTATCCCAGTACAGCTTTTCCCACTCTTTCGTTGACTATGAGGGCTACTCCATTTCTTCTATGGGATTCTTGCCCACAATAGTTGATAGGATAATCGTCTGAACTGAATTCGCCCATTCCCATCCATTGTAGTTCACTGATGCTTAGGATGTCAATGTCGATTCTTGCCATCTCCTATTTGACCACATCCAGCTTACCAAGGTTCATAGATCTTACATACCACTTACATGGTTCTAAGTAAGTCAGCCAACCACAGGGAAAAATGGGGTGATTCATCTGTTTAGACCACTGCCTCCAACAGGATAGGTCCATATGGGTTGAAAGCTTACATCCGTAAGTTGTTTTTGAGTTATCCAATACAAGTATTATCCCTCCTTGTGCACAAAGAATATGAGTTTTTTTTCCTTTCACCAAATTACAAATCACAGTATTCTAAGGATGGAATCTGGACAGTTAAGTGGCATCAAACTGTTGTATCTGTTATCAAAATCAGCAGCCATATCTTTCCACTCCAATTGCAAAATCTTTCCACCCAGCACCACCCACACTGTGGCTTCTGGACATGTACCTCCCAGTGATAGAGACATCTATTCTTGAACGTTATTCTTAATATCATGGCAAATTTTCCTACAAGTTTTAGTACACTCACCAAAATAACAGTAGCTGGCAATGTTACATGTTCATTCACTTTCCTTATCTTTCTGGATAGTGGATAAACAAGACTTTCCATACAAATTGTGCCCATACTTCCTTACCAATCACTACTTGCTTACTCTCTTATGCAAGCAGCAATTGATTGAAACCAGATACAATGCATGTAGCAAGCAAGTGATCTGTACCAGTGAAGAGTGAGCAATGAATACACAGGGCATGTCAGACAGGCTCAAATATATTTTTCCTCTTAGCTTTGATAAAAGTATCCATGATCGCCACAAAATTCTGCTAAGTATGCAAGCCAGCTCCTAGGAGCTTCTGCAACTGAATTTATAGATTTTTAGTTTTGCTCTCACACTACTATATTCCCCCCAAAATAAGACAGGGTCTTATATTAATCTTTGCTATAAAAAATGCATTATGGCTGATTTTCAGGGGATGTTTTATTATTTTTTTCATGTTCAACAATCTACATTTATTCAAATACAGCCATGCCATCTTCGTCTGATTGCTGCATAACGGTGGAGGGCATGGTTTCACTTAACTGGGGCTTATTTTTGGGGTAGGGCTTATATTACGAGCATCCTGAAAAATCACACTAGAGCTTATTTTCAGGGAAACAGGGTACCAAGGATTGGATTTCTTAGACAACAGCCCCCTCCCCAATTCTTACAAATACCAATCTCTAGAATGTTTACTTCTTTACCAGTGATGGCAGCAAAGAATCATAATTGATACAGTGGTGCCCCACTTGACGCTTACCCTGCATGACGTCGAAATCGCTTTATGAAGAGTTTTTTGTGATCGCTATTGCGATCGCAAAACGATGGTTCCAATGGGGTCCAATCGCTTGACGTCGATTAGGAGCCTGCTTCGTGAACCGTTTGTTCGCTAAATGATTATTTTTCCTTGCTCCGCAAAATGGCTTCCCTTTGTAAAATGGCTTCCCTCCCTTCGCAAAATGGTTGTTTCCTAGACCCCTGCTTCAGAAGACAGCGACTTTAAACAGCTGATCGGCGGTTCTCTATGGGCAATCTTCACTGGATGATGAGGTATTTCCCCATTGGAACGCATTGACCGGTTTTCAATGCATTCCAATGGTTTTTTTTCTGCTTGCCGACGATTTCGCTTAACAGCGATTTCAGGGGAACTGATTATCATCATCAAGTGGGGCACCACTGTACTCCCTTTCCTTCCTGGAAAGCAGACTCTTATGAAATTTGAGGGGGGGAATTAGGCTATTCAGGACTCTGCGAGAGAAAATCTAGCAGAAATACCTCCAAAACCTGGAAATGAGCCTTTTCAGGGGAAGGCATTCAATGTGTTGCTAATATGAACAATGCTAAGTTGTTAATGTTTTTTAAAAAAACCAGGCAGAGGGTTTTAAATCTGTGAATGTGTGAGGTACTTTGCAGGACTTCTCCAAATCTTTCGGTAAGAGATTTCACTGTGCATTAGTGTTTACTAACTGGAACTGCAGTCTGTATTAATAAAGATGGGATACTATTGATGGAGGTTCACTACCAGTAGGGTTAGCTAAGTGTTTATTTATATATGCCCTGTTTCCCTGAAAATAAGACCTAACCTCAAAATAAGGCCTAGTATGATTTTTCAGGATGTTCATAATATAAGCCCGACCCCAAAAATAAGTCCTAGGTAAGTGAAACACTGCCCTTCACCATTGTGCAGCAAATAGACAAAGATGGCATGGCCGTATTTGAATAAAGTAGATTGTTGTATATTAAAAAATCCCCTGAAAATAAGCCCTACTGCATTTTTGGAGCAAAAATTAATATAACGCCCTGTCTTGTTTTCGGGGAAACATGGTATCTCCCCATCCACTAAATGAGCTTGTTGTGGTTTTGCCATCTACAGACAGAGGGATCAATCGATAGCCACATAATGGCCTAAGCTCTGTTGAGGGAACTCATTATTTTATAAATAAACAAACAAATGTATACACTGCATTTACCCACTAAAACAATAGCTATGGATCAAGTCTCAACAGCTCCAGCTAAAGGCTGTGGCGAACTCAAATCTGATGAAGAGCAACAAGCAGTGTTAAAACTCATTACCTACTGAAAGGGACAGGGGAGAGCTAGCGTCCTGTTGAAAAGGAATGCCATCCTTTAAAACAAGGAGATCAGGAATCAAGTTAATAATTGACACACCGAAATCAAAGACAAGCGATTTGTTTTAGCAATGGAAAAGTGAGAAAAGGAAGGGGAGGAAAGCAGCAAACCTATAAGAAGGTTACCAGCATAACATCAGTTCTCTTTCCATCCACTTAGAGGAAATGGGCATTATTTACTATCTAGACAATAATTCATTGGCTGGCTTTACAGCTCAGTGGTTTAGGTATCTATCTGGCTGCAGAAACCAAAGGTTGGGGGATTGATTCCCCACAGTGCTTCCTGGGAGGAGAGCTAACTTGTGTGGCCTTAGGCAAGCTGCACGGTCCTAGGATGCCCACAGAAGAAGTGACTGCTAAACCACTTCTACGTATTCTCTACCTAGAAAATCCTGGAAAGGGTCCCCCATAAGTTGGAACTGACTTGATAATATGTAACTATTATTAATAATTAAATAACACAACCACGTGAACAAAACTTGAGCTCTTTTTTGGAATTCCTCCTTCCTAAATACTGTTTGTGACATTTGTTTTTATTTCTTTTGGGATGTGGGTATACATATATTTTGGGCCTCTTCATCTTGCTTCTTAGATAGAATGATGTAATACCAAAATGAACGTGTAGCCACAACTCACAAGAAAATAAAATGACACTAATGTAGGAATAAGCCTTCACTGGGAATTACACAGAGGGTAAGCTGGCAAAGGACTGAAATATAGGGAACAGTTTTACACAAATAAGTAAACACCAGAAGCAAATGAACACATGAAAATGTTAATTAAATAGTTTTCTTAATTTTTGTTTCATATATTGGCACCTTTCCAGTATTTTGCTTGAATTTTTATTTATTGGTTTATTTTAAAATTTCTTGTTACATTTCTGTTTCCAGAACCAACATACATACCAACATTTCATCTATTATTCCCAAATCCTATATATTGTGCCTAGAATCATAAAACTGATCAAAACCACCCTGCGTTTTGAACTCACCCTTCAGTACCACCTCATGTTGAGTATAATGACACATCTGAAAAAGTCTTTTCCCCAGCCCATTCTTTTGAACATTCTAGATCAATGGAAGGCTGAACAGGCAAATTAGGTAAGGTTATAGAAAACAGAGGGCAACACTGTTATCACAATGGTACACATTCTATATATTTAGTAATAATTTTAAAAGGCATTGCATTCAATATCTTTGAGCCAGCTCAAGAGCCTGTGAACACTATGTAATGATGAATCTGGTTAGATAGATCAATGAGCAAGGGCACAACTAAACCTTACAAACTAGAATTGGAAAAATTGAATCATGCATTCAGGCCATAAGAGACCTTATCAATACCCATACACAGTGGTGCAAAAATCGCTGCTAACCGAAAACATCGCTAAGCGATTTTAAAAAGCCCATAGGAATGCATTGAAACCCCTTCAATGCATTCCTATGGGCTTAAAACTTACCTTTAAGCGAAAATCCTCCATACAGTGGCCATTTTCACTGCCCGGTATGCGAGGAATCCGTCCCTAAACACAGTGGGTGGCCATGTTTTTCTTCCAGCGGCCATTCTGGAACCGCCGATCTGCTGTAGGAAAAAGATCACTATGCAATAATCAGTAAGCGAAACAGCTTACCGATCATTGCAAAGCGATTTTTTCCTATTTTAAACATCGCAATGTGATCGCTTTTTCGATCGCAAAATCTTCATCGCTAAGCAGTTTCATCGTTAAACGGGGCGTTCATTAAGCGAGGCACCACTGTACTTAGTATATTTATTCTTCCATCAACACATAAAACAGTGGTTCCCAACCTTGGTAACCCAGGTATCCTTGTACTGCAATTCCCAGATACTCAAACCAATACAGCTGTGGGGAAAAGCTTCTGGGAATTCCAGTCCAAGAACACCTTGGTTACCCAAGATATAAAGGTATGAAACAGAATAAATCTTTGCTCTCAGCTATTATGCCCTTATCTAAGAAGAGAGGGAAATATGAGCTTCTTCTTCCATGAACTATTCTACTATTTCTTATAGCATCTGGCATGATTGGATAATAATGTGTAGCCCTCTTGTGATTCCAAACAACAGTAGATATTTTGAAATACTAGAATGGAGAGAAACAAACAGGATCTAGTGATGAATAGAAAGCTATATTGCATGGCAGGAAGGAAAACCCAAGCACAAACCCTTCTTACCTTCAGAACAGAATTTCCCAGCATATCCAGTGGCTGAGCAATCACACTGTGGCTCCCCATCCAAAAGGAAGCAAGTTCCACCATTTTCACATGGGTTCTCTGTACATAGCCCTTCCATGTCCAGGCGGACTCCTTGGTGGCCTAAAAGCTGGGGTTCTGAACTGCCGTACTTCAGGTCCAAAATAAATCCTTTAAATGGTGGCTCACTCAGGACGCTGTCCAGGGTCAAGGCTGCAGGGCGAATATCTGATGGGACGCCTCCCACAAAGAGGTCACTTACAATATTCATGTACTGGCGCTGTGGGCGTACCTCACCAGGCTTGGCTTCTCCATCCAGCACTAGAACTGTCCGGAGATGGTTGCGACTAACCATCAAGAAGTGTAGGTTGCTGTCATTGACCTGTTTATCCGTAACTACAGTGGCCTCAGCGCAGTCCACACTGAACCGGAGCTGAATACGCCCATCCACCAAAGACAAACAAAGAAAATCACAGACACCGCCATCATCAAAGTAGAGCAGAAGCCCAGTTGAGACATTCGTTTTCAACTGGAAGCTGAGGTCACTCCGTGTGCTCGCATCCCAGCGGAGGTAACGGGCCCACTGATTTGGAAGGCCCATGAACTCAAGTCCGAGACAGAGGCTGAGTAATGAGCCCAGCAATAAGCTGATCTTCAAGGTCAAAGAGGCAGATCGGAGGGTAAAGCCCATTTTTGAAACCTTGCTTATTCTTAAGAGAAAAAGAATGCAAGCTACCTTGGCTCTGGTGAGAGGCACCACAGCCGTTTAATTCCACCAGTGAAAAAGACACGACTGGAGAGGCAAATTTTTCTTTGTCAAGGAAAGATCTCAGCTATCCCTTGGGATCCAGAGGCCTTTATCCTAGGAGAAGAACAGAGTAAGAATTCTTCAGATGTAATGTTTTGGGGTGGGGTAGGTTTCCAAGTGTGACCCCAGCCCTTTCCAGTGAAAGGCAGAAGCAGAGTCACCACCCAATCTCCAAATTATGGTCCCTTAGAAGCAATGATGGTGGCAGCAGATAATATATAGTAGCAAACTCATTAAACAATTGAATCCGTAGACAGAAAAATCAAAGTCAATCTGCATTGTGTACTGAAGATGATCCAAACCCTAATTCCTCACTTCTTGGCAAGTAGGCCCTAAAGAGATAAAATAAGAAAAGGGGAAAAAATAATTATATCCATTATGGATGTACTTATTTTGTACACACACGGACTAAAATACATCTATTTGTTCAAGCTGGCTACCAAAATATTGTTTATCATTATGTATTTATATCCTGTTTTTCTCCCAAAAAGGCACCTAGAGCTTAACAGAACATAATCACAAAATATAGTACAATACAAAACACGGATGTAAACAAACAAATTCTAAAAGCAATAGCAAAAAAAACACCCTAACAAAACACTAGCACTTGAAAGACTTAAAAGGAAAAAAAAAACAAAAAAAATTAGCTCAAAGATAGATGTCAACACATTAAAACAGGCAACAATAAAACTACGTGCTATATGTTAAATGCTAAACAAAATTTAAAATGACTGATTTCTGGCAAAAGAGGAACTGAAAAAGCAGTCTGGAACTGTGCTGCCACTAAAGAAATAGCCCTGTGTTCCCTGCTTTTTTTGGCACTTTTAATACATAAATAATTTTATAAATTATTTGTAAACAATGTAATTTCCCCCTAAAACAGCTGTAACATAGTATAAATAAAGACAGAAAAAACATAAAGAATTATAGGATATAAACCAGGTTAGCAAGAAACAAGACGTAGTGCAAAGACAATGAACTACATTGTTGAAATTTTAAATAAAGCAAGTTACAGATCCATGATAAATAAGGAATGATACTGAATGTAAACTACAAACATCATTCAGGGGCTTGATTAAGAATTAAGGTTTCAATGGATGTACACAGTTCTGTATTTTTCAGGCTTTGTTCTGAGCCCTGATCTATCAGGACATTGTATGGATCCCTAATAATACAAGAATTATATTCTGCCAAATAATGCAAGAATTATATTCTTCTTAAGTAGGAGCTCAGAACTTTAGCTGTTCCCATGAGGAATTTAATTTAAAGGAATGCTATACATTTAAACCTTCACCAACAGGCACTGTAACAGATCCATTCCTCGTATAATTTGTTGTCTAGGCCTATTCTGTCAAGTATACAGTACTGGTTACTTCCAGCTAACTGTACTCCCAAGCGAAAACAGTAAGTGTAAAGGAGATGATTCCTCCAGACAGCAAACACAGACCTAAGGCAGAGGAAGCAAACCCTCTACCATTTCCTTTGCACTGGAATGTAGATAAAAAAGCATTATGATAATTTTCATGCCATCAAACATTACAACTTGATGTTTTATGTTTACTGTTCCCTGTGTGAACTGTACATGGGGCTTCAGTGAACCTCACTCTTATGCATCTTTCTGCAATGTACAGTACACCGAATCTACATTGGTAATTACTGTGGCTTTCATGCACATAAGTTGACATAAAAGCCCACAACTTGAAAACATTTCAGACAAAAAACAAACACACACACACACACACACACACACAGAGAGAGAGAGAGACTGCAGTACTTTAAAGACTAACTGTTCATCACATAATATTCATATATACATCACACTAGAAGCAGCTGGGGTTGGAACTGTAATTCTTAACAATATTTTCAAAATTTCAGCAGTGACTTGTCTATTATTGATAGCAAGCCTGGCCAGAGCTGACAATGACTTTTTCCTCTGCCTCTGAAGTGTGACTACTGAAGTGCGATTGCTGGAGGACATGGGGATATTTCTGTGGATGGTAAAACAAGATCCAAATGGAAGAGATAAATCTTTCTGGTTGCCATATGGCACCCATAACCAACACTTCCAAAAAGTCAGATGAAAACAAAATTTTAAATGAGTGACAAGAGGACCTAAAAGCAAAAGATGATGTGAATGCTCAGTGCCCAACATAGAAAATTTCCTACAGTAGTCTGCCTGGAGCTTGTTAGCTAAACTGCTATAAACACAAAAACAATCAAGACACAGCCAGAGGGAAGATTCATTTTAATTGTTAACAGCTTCATTCTGATGGTTGGGAAAGAGAAAGCAGGAAGTCCCAAGAACATTTTATTCCCTTTTAGGATCTTGGACTGTTAACAGTAGAACACCTTCTGTTTACCTTCCTCCTCCTGGTTCCCTGTGCTCATATGAAAGCCAGCTTATGATTTAAATAGAAGAAAAGAAACTACAATAAGAGAAGGAGTAGAGAGAAGAGACTGGGGGGTGGGGTTCTGACCTGGAATTAGTGATGAGTTGCAAACGGAAATATAATAAATTGTTGATTAGCCAGCAACTCAAGGTTCCTTAAGATTTATAGTGATATCATTAAGTCAGCAGCTCTGAATTTAAAACTAAAAACATCTTTGTAGCTATGTAAGAAAAGTAATACTGTATGTGAGGGCAAGAGGAGAAGGGGACAACAGAGGACAAAATGGTTGGACAGTGTCGCTGAAGCAACCAAGATGAATTTGACCCAACTCCGATAGGCAGTGGAAGACAAAATGTATATATTTCTTTATAAATTGAAAAGAATTGAAGATTTTAAAAAAAAAACCTGCAAGTGAGCGAAAGCCAAACCCATCCGGGCAGAGGGCTTTGAGTCCTCAGATCTTCGAATTCTGGCTCATACTGAACATATGCAAGCATGTTTGTTGTGCTAAACTGAGACTGGCATTTCTTTAACCCAGCAAATTATTCATATTTAATAACTAGATGACAGACAAGTGTTACAAAACTTTTCCTTATTAGATCTATTAAAATGGACCAGTACATATGGTTGAGAATTTCATTTGACTGTTTGTTTGTTTGTTTAGCACTTAACTTGAATTTGCAAATTCAAATCGTAAAATTATCCAGAAAAAAACAGAGATTTTTCTTTTCTGTTAAATGTGGAAGGCAAGTCAAACAGATTCATCCATCCTACTTTTTTTTTTTAACAGATTGTTCTGAAAAAATATTCTATAGTGGACATTTAAGCCATGAATTGATTTTTAGGGCAAAATGGGGATGGGGTTTAAAGATGATAGCCCATCAGTTCTCAGTGAAAGAGGATTTGAAAAGATCTATGTTGTTACTTTTTAACGTGAAGGATGAATATCTGAATATGCAAATCTGACACAGTGAAATATTCAGGTCTCTGCAATTGAATTTTTATGAATTATAAGCTTCTTAAGTAAACTTTCTAGAACTAATAGTTTTCACAAGCCTCTAACTAAGCCTACAATATTAACAAGTAACAGCAGTCCTTAAAAAGCTTCTCTCTCAAAACTTTGGAATATATCATCAGAATCCCATCAAAAAACCCCTCACTATAGAATACAAATATACTGGACAGGAAATGAAGATTATGTTTAAGAGATTCCAAATTATATAGTGATGTCACTGAGGAAAAGAAATATTATACAACTCATTTTCATATCATATTTAACATCACATAAGTAACAGAAACTATATAAGTTTGTTAATACAATCTGTTCACAGTGCAGTCAAGATTGTGTAAGTTCAACATATATAACAGTCTAACGAAGTTCTCAACCTTGGGTAACCCAGATATTCTTGGACTACAATTCCCAGAAACTCCAGCGAGGACAGTTAATCGTGAAGGCTTCTGGGAGTTGCAGTCCAAGAACACTTCAGTTGCCCAAGGTTGCAAACCTTTGGTCTCTGATATTGAATACGTTAGTCTAATGTGGTGCTGCTATAGAAATATAAATGGATATAAATTACCAATGAACTCAATGTTTTACTCTTAAGATTGTTTAAATAACTGATGCCCAATGATCACAGAATAGTTGAGAATATATTTACTTGTAAGAAGCAACTCTTTTAGAAAATGGAGATCAACACCTGGCATAACCTAGTAATGCATGTTTACATTACATAAGAAATTTGAGCAGATCAGATTACGAACAGTAACTTAAGGTTAATGGAATACATGTATTTAGTGCTGCAGATTGAAAATAATTTTAAGAATATAAAATAAATCTTAAAGGTAGTGTAAAGGAAACGTTAGAATTGTACCCAATTTTTCAAGCAATCCTATTTGTTCTCACACTTTTTGCTGGTTTGCTTAAACATATTTTACATTATGACTTTTTGTGCATTATTCATATTTCATTACCATATTTTCTTGTCAAAATTTGCTAAACAAATTTTTGAACAAAAGGAATCTACTGGTATCTCAGTCAAAACCTTGTAAACAGATAGATGTGTTTGTGCTATCTAGGTTTGTACGTATCTTTTTCTGATTATTAATTTCCACTGTCTTTGCTTTTGTTTTGTTTTGTTTGATTGTTCTTATTTTATTGACTGTTAACAGAATACAGTGGTGCCTCAACTTATGAACATCCCTACTTACGGCCATTTCAAATTACAACCAGCTCTGCCCGCAAAAATTTTGCGTTGACTTGGAGCCGGAGCTTTGAGGAACCACCAAAAAAAGGCAGGGGAACAGCCGGGAAATTCAAACCGTTGGTGACAAAGAGGCTGGTTCTTTGTAACGGTTAGGGAAAGGGATGCAGCTGCAGGAGGGAGGCGGTGGTGGGGCCGTCCCTTGGCGCTCCTCGCCACCCTCCACGGGGCTGATGCCACTGTTGCTGCTGGGTCCCAGTCCTCGGCTTTGGCGCAGGGGTGGAGGGGGCCCTAATCCTGGCTCCTCCTGCACTGCTGTCCCTGGCATGGCATGGCTGCGCTTAGCCCTTGGCCCCGCAGGGGCGGCTTCGCTTCTCCGTCGGCAGGCGGCTCCTGAGCAGCAGGTGGTTCGCCTGCCGGGGGTGCCCGATGCTGCCTCCTGCTCCAGCACTGACACTAGCGGCTGCTTGCCGGGGCAGCTGCGTCAGGCCTCGGCCCGC